ACATCCTTAGTTTCCATCACCTTTGCCAATATAGTCATACATACAATTATAGTTTTTTTTTTAAGGAGGGAAATCATCGAATGACTGCTCCCGCCTGGGTGAGGCGGGAGGGAGTGTCAGACTCTTACTGACAAAAAACCACCCCGTTCCTTCTCCTGCACGTCGAGCCGGAGCCCCGGTTACCCGTTAGGTTCTCCGCGACACATACAATTATAGTACATACTTAACACATAATACTTACCAGTAATTTAATCATGTACAACGCAATCCTCAAAAAATAACAACGATTTACAATCAACTCATACTCTGAAATACATTAAAAACCTCCAATTCCATTTCACAGTTCCACCACGCTTGGATCTAACGGCACTATTCGCGCGAACGATAATTAAAACGATATGGAAGTTAACATCGAAATTAATTGAATTAGTGTTTACTGACTATTAAAATGGCCTTCGATTAATTCGAAATCGGTTTTAGTATCGATGATATAATTGTATCGGTTGTACATTTTATTGGATGCAGTTTCCTGTTGCTGTCGAATTACGAATTCCGTTGAACATTCTACTTCGTAAAATCGATTTTGAATTCGGATTTATGATTTCAATGCTGCGTTTGTTTTTAATTATGTTTTATAGTCTTGTGTAGTTTCATCAATTCTATGAAACTATTTATTATTATTTCTCTAATAATTAGTTTTATTTATTTAGATTGTTCATTATTTTATGCAGTTCATTATTCAGTTCTATAAAATTACAAAAATGTCTGTCGAATCAGTATAAACTAAGTTTAAGAGTAAGAAGAAATGGATAAAATAATGAGCCATGCCATCTTGTTTACCATATCGCGGATAATCAATTGTAACATAATATCATAACATCACGCCCTTTATTCCCGAAGGGGACACCCATTTTTCACTATTTATGTTATGAGTCCCATGTAATAGGGGATAAGCCTATTGCCATATACCGGGCACAATTCCAGACTCCGTGCTACTACTGAGATTTGTTTAAAAACCCAGTAATACTTTGCCGACCCGGGAATCGAACCGAGACCCTTGCCCGGCAATGCATTGCAACACTCGGAAGCAGGTCTTGTCAATATCAATTGTCTGCAATAAAATTGATTATTAAAAAATATGCACAATAACTTACAACATTGTTACTCAAACAGACAACTCAGTAGAGTTACATAGACTCCCCTTTCCCTATTCCAATAAATCACAAACATTTTTCAAAAACATCGATAGCAACATTTTAAACCGTTCCCCTCAATACACACAGGTTAAGATAAGACACAGCATCCTGTTTTGTCACGGCAAGATTAATTCACTTCACCCGTAATCTGAGCTAAGTGGCTTACTTACGATATCTGATTCTATGTAGGTGGCACCTTAGGTAACGCCTAGGGAAGTCGTGACAAACTGACAACTCAATTGAAGAAGTAGAATTATTTAAATAGTGATGCTGAAATGATTGGTGATAACGAAGTCGAGTGATAGGTTGCTATTAGTCTATGTTTATCTGCGTAAAGATATGATAACTTGATCTGTATACATAAATAGTATAAAGATATTAACAATGACAGTAACTAGGATCATAGAGTTAATTAGTGGCTGATTTCTTCCAAATTATGTAACTGATGAAGTTTTGAAACATAACACCACGCCTTTTATCCCCGAAGGGGTAGGCAGAGGTGCACATTACGGCACCTAATGCCGCTGTACAATATAACACCCACTTTTCACTATTTATGTTATAATTCTCATGTAATAGGGGATGAACCTATTGCCATATACCGGGCGCATTTGCAGACTCCGTGTAACAACTGAGATTTAAAAAAAAAACTTAGTAATACTTTGCCCGACCCTGGTATCCAACCCGAAACCCCTTGTCCGGGAGTCGCACTTGCGACGACTCGGCCAATAAGGCAGATGAAGTTTTGAGAATTAACTAATAATTAAGAGTTATTCACGTAAATATTCTGAAATAAGCTTTACTAGTTTCGAGTTATAGCGGGACTCTTCCTCGTGAGCAGCGTGCGCGGTCGCGAACAGTTTATGCGGTGCCCGCGTTAGTGTTGGTGTTTGCGTTGCACGCCCATCGCGCCTTCTGAAGGAAACCACGCGCGTTCAAAGTCAAAGTCAAAGTCAAAGCATTTATTTCAATTAAACCATAGTTTGGTACTTTTGAAACGTCAACAAATACAAAATAAATAATAGTCTTTCAGTCAGTCCGTCAGTGAAACTAGGTGAAGCTAGGTGCTCATTCCAAAAAGTAGATTCGAATGGAGAAGAACGAGCAAGAAACTCCATTCGTTACTCTTTTTAAAAAAGTATGTTCTATAATGTCTCAGATACATATTTCAATATTTCGTTTCCAATTAGTATTTCTTAGTTAATTCAGCATGTCTCACGATAGTTATTACAAAAACGTGTTAATAATTAGTTGTTAATAATTAATTGGTGAAATTTGAGAGATGATTTTACACTTCCAGGATACCTTTGACAATACCAACACGCTGCATCTTTTGTTAAACTTAATTCACACGACATGATTACACACAACTTATTATAAATTCAATATAACATATAGTAAGTCCATACCTCTTTGTGACTTTAATGCTGAGAACAATTCCTTTCCGATCACTGCTGCGTCCTTGTGCTAATTTTCTATCAATATCATTATCACAGTTACTGTTAATAATTTTACGATTAACGCCACACTTAGCTTGGTTACAGGTTTCATTTCACACGGCCTTTGCGATTAGTTAAGTAAATCTATATGAATGGACATGCCAACTGAAGTGTCACTTTTGGTGTCCAGATAATTAGCTCTGTCACTTGATGATTTAATGTCGACATCGTGGTTGGATAAATGTTATAGTATGACGCATATAAAAATTTATCTAATTATTATACTCATTACTACTGTTCCTAAAATTGCTGTTTGTATCACATGCTTATTTTATAAAGTCAAAGTAAAAGTCAAAGCATTTAATTCAATTAAACCATAATGTGGTATTTTTGAAACGTCAACAAATACAAAATAAATAATAGTCAGTCAGTCCGTCAGTGAAGCTAGGCGAAGCTAGGTGCTCATTCCAAAATGTAGATTTGAATGGAGAAGAACGAGCAGGAAACTCGACTATACATGTCTCTTAATTATAAACATCACAATATTCTTCAATTATATGCCATACCTAAATGAATAAATCAAATACATTTTCTAAAGTTGCAACCTTGTTCACAACACTCCTTAACATAAAGCTTGCATAACTCCTGTATTAAGAGGAAACCAATGTAAAGACACGAAACTACATCTTAAGCTCCATAAATATCAAACGAATACCACAGTAATGTTATTCTAAATTGATTAAACATTTATCTTTTATTGCAAGTCGGTAGCGGGAATTCGGTCACGGCATTAGCTACAAAACATTTGATAATATTGCACATCAAACGATACCAATCTATCTAATTCTTTTAATAGATCTTGAACCTTGAAATGTGGTCATAAAGTTGAAAGTCTATTAAAACGGGAAGACAGATTAGGATAGCTTTATATGCTGTCATCTACTATGATAGTATTATGATCAGTTTAAGTGGTAGAACTGTTTGTAAATAATGTACTAAAGTATTGGTTGGTACGGAATTTAGCCTTGCTTCGGCTGGACAAAGGAGTGCTGATAACGTTAATGGTTTGTGATGGATTGTGAGACAGGTTGTTCTACTGTGATTAGGCAGTAAATTGTTTGTAAAATTTATCTATGTAGTTCTGCTTCCTACTTGCCGGTTATTGATACCGTTAGTTTAGCATTTAGTTGTATGATTGATTTATCATAGTTAACGGAGTTGCTTTTTTGATTTATTTATAACAATTGCGTTTTAGTTTCTGTTTCTTGACGTCGAATGGTTGATTATAAGAGTTTCTAAGTTTGTTAGCATTTTGTATGGGATTATCAATGTTGATCAACAATGATTGCACGGTTGGCGCGGTGGCTGGGCGACCGACTGTCGCGCAAACGTTTACTGCGTTCGATTCCCTCTCGGAGCAATAACTGTGAAGTTAGTAATTTTTGTTATAAATGTAGAATTTCTTTAGTCCTGTACGTAGATTAGTACAATTTCATTCGACATTTGAAATTTTGACGCAACAGGCACAAATTACTTTTAAAAAGTAAAAAGATAACAACACAAAACAATTGACTGCATCTAAAGCTAAAAGTCATGACAAAATACACAAACAAGTTGCAATATCGAATGCAAATTAAGAATTACTACACAAGTAGGTACACAACGGTTTACAAATCTGACAATAGAGCGCAGAAAGTTTTGTAACAAATGCATAATATTATGATAAGTTAACATGAGTTACTGGTTATATTGAACAGTATGGTCTAATAAATTTGCAATAGATAGACATTTTGATGGGACGGTTAGTAGACTTGCTGTGAAACTACCGTGTTACGTGTTTTCGATGCAATTTCTATGGGTATTGGTAGGTATTGAATATTTTAGTCTAACATTCCTAATACTGAGACATACTAAATTAAGTAAAATCGCGGGTTACTCACGTGAATATACTGAGAACTTGAAATGTTAAACGTTCTCGTAGTAAGGCTACTGGCAAATTTGCTAGCTTTATTTAGGGTCTATTTTTCAATCCACATAAATTTTTACTGTAGAATAAAATTGAAATTTTACAGTTTTTACTCCGATTAAATCTGGCGTAAGAAAAACGGCTCTTAGTTTAACAAAACCAACACAAAACAGTTGTAACTTTGTTCTAATAAAGATACTCTCCTACGATACTATTAGAAATATCAAACGTTTATAAGGAAGCACGGATTATTGATATGTGTACTGAACAAATCTTGTTTTTTAAACTTTACTCCACGGTGATTTACTTCTGTGTAGTGGGTGCGTATACACATGACACCCAGAACCGAAACAATAATTTGTGCATCATACAAATAGTTGCTCCGTGCATGAATCAAAATCGCTACACGTTGCACGGCAGCCGGTTGCCCAGCCACCGCCCCAACTGTGCAGTCAAAATCAGGATAAAAAGTCTACTATTACCTAGTAGATTTACTCTAACTAGGTTCTATTATAACGGTAAACAGTTATTAAGTAGGTACATCAGTATTTATGCAGCAATATTGCAAATTATATCACATTACAATAACTTGCTAGATTGTAATCGTGTTAAGGCGTTATAGAATTAAGTCGATTGTGAAGTTACGAAGCTCTAGAAATCGTATTGTTAGAGTGTCGTCGTAAATACGGGAATTATTTGTTTTGATTAAGTTAATAGTGTTGTGGCCAAATAGGTGTTAGGAAGGTAGTTGAAATAATGATTTGACATTACATACATACATAACATCACGCCTTTTATCTATTTATGTCATGAGTCCCATCCCATGTAACCGTCCCGTGCTACTACTGAGATTTTTTTAAACCTAGTAATAGTTTGCCCGACCCGGGAATCGAACCCAAGGCCCCTTGCCCGGCAGTCGCACTTGCGATCACTCGGCCAACGAGGCAGTCAGTGATTTGACATTATTTGTTTGAAACTAGTGTATGGGTAATTTTTATGTTATCCGTATGTTATGTACACAGAGATAGGGTAGGTTATGGTAAGGTTAGGTTATGGGCATGTACGCAGAGATAGGTTAGGCTATATTTCACCAGGATACCATGGTAGCACAGCCAGTCGCCGGTACCAACGAAATGTATACAGCTCCACAGAGAGTTATTTACCTGGATGACCACTTGGTTACGTAACCAATATAGGGCCGCGCCCAAGTCGGATGGCAGCAGTAAAGGTCTATTTTGATACAATTGCAGTATGGTGTGGCGATTCTGATGTCTGTATGGAGTCTAGTTTGGTAGATTACAGACACCACGGTGGTGTGACTGGTAGCGCATAAAGATTGACACGTAAAAGTGTTACTTTGAAACATATTTGATGACTTATGTAAATATCATTTACATACATACATGTAGGTACATAACATCACGCCTGTCTCTAATGGAGGTAGACAGAGACTATAGAACGCCAATTGCTACGATTCTTACTCTTTCGTTTCATCAACAGTCATTAGTCTTTTATTAACACTTCTGTATAATAAACATACGATGGCGGACTTAAACTGTCAAACACCAAGCGGTCACCGGTGACCGCGACCTATTGTTCTTTAATTGTGTCTATAAATACGGTACTCGACGAGTTAATGCCGGGTGGCATTCTCTAGTCTTTTCATGAAAAATCGTAGGTTACTTTAAATTTGGTCCTTCTAATTATCAAATTCTGTATCACAGAGTGAGCCTATTATTATATATACATGATTCTATTCCAGATTCCATTCTGTTATTGGTAATTTTCAAAAAAAAAAACTAAACAATCCTGATAATTTTTTGCTCTCTAAACACCTTTAAGTCCCAACTCTAGAAAATTGCAAACACCATTCATGATTACAATAACTATAAAGATAATACACCATATCGCAGTAATAGTAAATACGCCTTCGCTTCAATGAAAGTGACTGATGTATCTTTGTTCAACAGTTAGGTAATGGTGTTTATTATTATCTTAAGAACCTTTTTTTATAGCATCATTTGCCGCTTAACGAGCTGACAGATCACCTGGTAGTAAGCAATCGGCAAAAAAAATAATTTAGTATACTTTCCAAAAGTTTATCTCAACTTATCTCTCTGAAATTATGAAATTAGGAAGACACACGAAGAAGGACATAGGCATAGAATATAGTTCTCTATAAAGTAGGTTTCTATAATGTCGAGGCGAAAGTACTTGCGTCATTGTATCTGTGGCGTAAGGAACAGCAGGAACGGGGTGTCCGACTGGTGCAACGACAGATAGAATCGCACCGGTCGGAGCTTCGTCAGGTCTTAGTGGCGGAATGGCGGGAGAGGCTTCAACGCCCTACCGCTGGACTCAACTTCATCGAGGTGGTCCGGCCAGTACTCGACGACTGGCTCGGGAGAAAGCATGGCACCCTGTCGTTCCGAGTGACGCAGGTGCTTTCGGGGCATGGGTGTTTCGGAAAGTTCCTGTGTCGCATAGGCAGGGAGCCAAACGCTCGGTGCCATCACTGCGTCCATTGTGAGGAGGATACGGCGCAGCACACCCTTATGGAGTGCGTGGCTTGGGATGAGCCGCGTCGTGCCCTCATATTAGAGATCGGTGACGATCTGTCATTGTCGACTGTTGTCCAAAAAATGGTCGGCAGTGCAGAGTCGTGGGATGCAGTGGTGTCCTTCTGCGAAGATGTAATGTCGCGGAAGGAGGCTGCGGAGAGGGAAAGGGAAATTGCAATGTCTCTACCTTCCCGCAGTAGGCGCACCGGGCGTCGAAGGAGAGCAGAAATTACTCTCTTTCGACCCCCCTAAATGGGTCCGGGGACGGTGGACTTGGGGAAGTCCCCGTCATCCCGTTGTAAAGGACCCGAGACGGTGGCGCGCGTTGTGTCCACGCGCGCCTCCGAGACGTTGCACGGAGAAGACCAACACCTCACTTCTCCGTGCAGCTTGAGGTGGGGCCTGGCAAGGCAGGCCGCCACGAGTTCGGGGGCTGCGGATGAATGTGACTCCCGCACCCTCGTACCCACGTGTGAGACGGGACACCGGGGTGGGTTTTAGTCAGTAAGAGTCTGACAGTCCCTTTCGTCCTCCCCAGGCGAGGGGGCTCCATGAGGATTTCCCACCTTGGGGTTAAAAAAAAAAAAAAAAAAGGTTTCTATAATGTAGTTTTCGTTTACTCGAGAGAAAATACCTTTTATTAGACCTAAAAAGACTATTATTGCGCTTGCAAATGGGTTTAGATAAATCAGCCGTTGACAAATCCATTACCAGGTAGATAGGGATCAATAAAAACAAGAAAAGTATCCCTGTGACGTTAGTTAGGGCGGCTTGTACTACCATGCCGATTAGCAATTGCGTACTGAAGGCGCGTTTAGACTGGCTAGTTTAATGTCTGTTTGGTTGCGAATTAGTGTAGTGATAGTGTTTTCAGACATAGTCTTTAGCATGGTTATATACAAAACTATTCTAAGATTTTGGGGACGTCAAAGGTAACTATAGAAGACGGATATTCTGATGATTATGTTTTTAGTATTTTACATTAAAATGATAAACGTACCAAACTAGATTTTCGACTAATTTACCCTCGATAAATAAAAGTATAATTTTTTGTTCATTTAAATTCTTCTTTGCATCACCCAAAGGTCAGACTGGGAGAAAATGCCTGCGGCATTAAGTCCACCTTGTGTACACTTTGTGCATGAAGCGTTAATAAAATAAAAAATAAAAAATAAATATAACAAATTGGAACGTATCTAATTAGTAATTTTTGATAAAACAATTAAACTGATTGTTAAAACGATTTTTTCTATATTTTGTCCCAAAAAATATTGCAGCCAGCTAGTGTACTATCCCATGTGAACACTGCATAGATCTAGGTACACTTCGAAGCTGGTTTTAAAGTCAAAGCAATAAACGTCACTGTAGCATTGCGATTGTAAAGTGGCGCTTTTAAAACTGAACAAATCGTATTAACAGGGCACAAGGCAAGAAATAGTTGCGGTTGATAGTTTTAGTCCCTTTTTGTACACCAGTAACTGGATTTTATAAGTAGACGAAATATAGATAAAATTTTGAGAGAAATTGTGATGTTAGTAAGTGGTGTATGAAAAATGCAATAACTTATTATTGTTTTTAAGTTAAATTTATTAAATAAAGTTGCAACCAAAAACTATACCTACTTTTTTTAACTAGCTCTAAGTTTGGTTATCCCAGCTGAGAGGTTGATTAGTGTTCCTGACGTCACATTGGGCTCACCACCATACGTGGTGCGATCGGCGGTCATTCATTCACTCGCTTGCCCGACACGACGCCGTGCGCACATATCGGTGGACCCTTACAATCAGTACCTATTTAAATACAGTCTTCTCATCATACCGAAGTCTTTTATTATTCAAGACCACCAGCAACACACCTGGAGCTTGATATTCAAACAATTCATCATATCAGCCACAGGACGTCCACTGCTGAACATAGGCCTCCCCTAATGACTTCCAGATAGGCCGGTTGGAAGCGACCAGCATCCAGCGGTTCCCTGCGACCTTCGACGATTCAAACAATTAGTTAAATATTAATCAAGATCTCCGCGATTCCTGCTTTATTTGGCTCTTCAAATAAAACTTCTTAAAGACGAATATAGCAGTTATAATGATGGGTGAAAAAGGCATATATTCAGCACTTTAATTTTCTGGCAGACAGTAAAATACATAATATCGTTAATCATATTACCTTTCTTGACTGCCTCGTTGGCCGAGTGGTCTCAAGTGCGACTGCCGTGCAAGGGACTCGGGTTCGATTCCCGGGTCGGGCAAAGTATTACTGGGTTTTTAAACAGATCTCAGTAGTAGCACGGAGTCTGGAATTGTGCCCGGTATATGGCAATAGGCTCACCCCCTATTACATGGGACTCATAACATAAATAGTGAAAAGTGGGTGTTACTTCTGTGTGCACCTCTGCTGTTATGTTATGTAACAAAGTGGGTGTTACATTGTAAAGTGACATTAATTGCTATAATGTGCACATCTGCTTACGCCCTCGGGAATAAAAGGTATGATGTTATGTTATGTGATACCATTCCTACGTAGCAGAAGACGAACTTAGCGGCTACCGAATGTAATTCTGCGCATCATGCAGAAATATAGTGTTTTTCTCTCTATAAGCTTATGACTTAACCCATTTACACTTTTCCCGTTTATCTGTAGACTTAATAAGGCAAGTATTTGCATTGCAATTGTTTTTATTGCATGTTTTAATTGACCAATGCAAATTGATTAAATAAAAGTACAGTTTGTGAATCCTTTTTCTGCTTATATTATGGCTTTAGTTGATAAAATCGCTAGATTATAAGCAGCATGAACAGACACTATCTTGTAATTTTGTGTTTTTTTAGTTCTTGATAGTAGGGGAGCCCATGAAGGGATTTCGGTAGTTACTCGAGCGCGTCAGATTAACATATGGGGAAAACCTAGTGTCATGTTGAATATACCCACCATATATCCGATCTGAATAGAAGGGGGGGGCGAAAAATTAAAAAAAAAGTCTGACTAAATAAAGTCAGTTTCGTCAGATTAACGGAAGGTAGGTCAATACCATGCTAAAGGAAGTGCGTTTGAAAAATCT